AACTACTTTATAAAGCTTTAAACACAATAAAACTGACATCTGTTGAAAACGAGAGTGTGTTCTCCTTGTCCGGAGGCATTATTACAAAAATCAGAAACAGATTGTCGGACAAACTGTAAATGCTCTGATGTTTTTAAATGCCTATTTTATTAAATCAGAAAAGATGTCTAATTGCTAGTTCATTATATTATTTATATGACTAATGAATAGAAAGTAGGTGATGATTATTAATGATTAGTATGATTACTAAGTTGGTTTTATAATTTTAAGATTTCACTGCCAAAAAATGAATCTATGATTATAAGAATTAAACATACGAACTGTTTAGACTTTATTAACGTTATAAATGTTAGGATTTGATTTTATGTTCAATAAATGTTGATTTTTACTAAAATTGCTTTTTTATTGATACATCTCGCCAAAAATGAACTCGATTCTAATTTTATTCTGAGAACTTTCGAAGTCCCGGGACGTCCCGGGATTTTGATCGTGAGTTGTCTCGTGTCCCGGGACTTTGAGAATGTCGAGACTTCCCAAACCCTAGTCGGACATAATGACTATTTTACTCGTTATTAGCATTTACAATTTTTTATAAAATACATCCCTACCCTTAAAATTAAACTTTTTGCCATTATATAATAATTAATTAAATAAAAATAAGTTTAAAAAATTACAGATGGCGACAAGTTTAATTTTAAACGTTGTAAATGCCAAGTGTTGCAACTACCAAAACACCTTTCAATTCAGAATTGAAGAAACACAACATACCCTGTACATTGAAATCTCAGCTGTGTTACTTCGAAGTAATTTTCTAGTTATAAAACCGTAACAGAAATAGTTAATGTATGTCCTGTGGAAATAGAAATTCCACTTGGTCCAGTAAATTGTTTTCTTATAAAATAGTAATAAGGGTAATTATTTTTTTCCCCATAAAATATGAAATATAAGCAAAATACGGCTATTCTAATACTTTTCTTGCAAGACGAATGTCAATAAGTACATAATTATTAAAATCAAAATTGAAAAGATGATGGAACTGGTATCGCTTAAATTACAATTATTTTCAATTTTTTGAACTAAGTTTTAGGAGTCGTTCATTAATATCTGCACGGAGTTCAGCGTAATAGGAATTTTAATTCACAGTTTTAATCCATATTCGATTATTACGAACTTTCTCAAATTTATAATTTGTTTTGAAAAAGTGTTTAAAAAACTAAAACGTGTCGATTGATGTTACTTTAGGACTGTGCAATAACTCTGCCCGATCTTTTTCTAAATGTTCTGCGATGCTCATCTTTGCCTTGAATTTTCATTATAATTCTTGATATAAGCAATTGATATATCTTAAAATTGTTATTTGGAATATTTTTTAAGTAAAAATAATATGTAAAATTTTAATAGTGAAAGTAGTCAATCAATTTTAAAAGTATAATTCGGAACTCCGTAAGAGGTAAGTGTTTGTATTNATAACTTTTTCTTATGTTTGTTACTTTATTTGAAATAAATGTTTGTTTAGTTAATAAAAAATGAATGAGTTTTTAAATTTTTTGTTGTCTGTTGTCTGCAAAAACTTTATTGCTGAAGATGTCCCCCATGAGAATAAAATCGACCTGTCCGAGCGATTTGCTTGAACGAAGACGAAGACTCTGCCATTTCGTTTTCGTTGGCTCACCCTGTATATTTATTTATTTATAGTGCCCAAATGCGGCCTAGAAAACTTAATGGTTTTTGAATTTAATCCATAATAAAACATTCAATTTTTTAAAGGCTAAAACCATTTATTCTGCTGGAAAAAAAACAAGCAGCACTGAAAATAGTTTGTGTTGAAATTTGAAAGTAGTTGTTAACGACTTTCCCTATCTGAATTGTCATCTATGTAGCTTATTGTTAAGAAGGATTGATGACTCATTTAATTCAAACAACCCTAGTGTTTCGTGACTTAATTATTTTGTTTTTTAATTTTGAAATTTTGCCAGATTGTTTAATAGACTTTTAGATTATTTCCAATATTAAAAATTAAAACACGCTATTTTGAAAGATAGTGTACATAAAAAAAATTCTATATTTAGAATTGTCTTTAAAATAAAGCCTGTGCCTATTTTAAAAAACAGAAGCTGCTAATTCTGTATAAGAAACAGAAAAGTTTTATGCGGACAATAAAACAAAGGAATGCAATAAAAAAGTAAGTTATATTTTTGGAAATAAAACCGCTTAACCTTGCCTTATCTACCACTAAACGTCACATCTTTATCTTATACAGTATATCAAATAATAATATTGATACCATTATATATCAATATATATATATATATCAATAATAATATTGAAGATAATAATAGTAGATTTAAATACATTAAAATAGACAAAGGCCTTTCGTCAACAAAAGGCCCGGATTACTTAACTTTCTTCAGGCCTTAAGCGTTAAAGAACAGCGTTAAAAAATGTATATTATATTTTTAAAAACGTAAAATTAACAAAAATTTATGCATAATTATTGCATTAATAATGCATACATTTCATTAGTATCTCTCAAGGTAATCCATTGTATCGTGTAACTAGGAGTACTCACAACATTAGAATGACCTATTTTCAGATCTCACTGATAACTAATTGAATGTAGGCCTAAATGTCCTCGAAAAAACACCCTTGACGAGATCGATAAACGTGCTAAAATCTTCTAAATTTAGAATAAACTATATATCTGCACGTTTTCTCTAAAAGCAGATTATAGTCTACATCATCAATCAAGCAGTTAATGAGTTAACACATGTTTACATATCTCGCAAACTTCTCTAATTTTAACATTTATGTCTTCTTTATATAGAATATGTAAGCCTACTGTGGACGAAACGGAATCGAATTAGGGCAAACTAAATGAAAATTTCATTTATCAATTTTCATTTCTCATCTCTCTGCTTATGAATCGTTAAAACTGCCAGACGAACCACTTGAATTTCTTCTTTAAATAATTAGCATTATAAATAATTAATAAACTGAGTTAATTAGAGGTAAATTTTCGTTTTTTATGATAAAAATTGGAAAAGGAATATAGAATATTCATTTAAAGTAAGTCTATATAGTGACTCGCTCGGGATTTAATCATGGAGGGAGCTCACATAAGGTGGGAATTTTATTGAATTCTAAAGCTTAAACCACTGTTAATTCATAAGTAGTATAGAAATATCAGACACGTACAATATTAATTTTAATTAAGAAAAGATTTTTGGAAGATTTTCTAGTGTTTATTTTCTTTCTTCATGGAGAATGCCATCGACCCTTTTCCTCTTCTGGATGCGCCATTATGTACAGTATAATAATAATACAACGTATGTAAATATAACTCACTTGTTTAGATTAATTATTTTAATAAATTGATATTTTTCTTCATTATCAACTTGTAAATAAAACGATAACTCAGTTACAGCATACGTATTAAAATAATTCTCGATTTTTGATATAAAATTAATAACAATTTTAAAGTCTTTGACGTAATATTTATCGTTAAATATGCAAAGTTGAAGTATTTTAATCCAGTTTAAATGAAAAATTAAACTTATGAATGCTGTAAGTAACCTTAAATTAATATAAAACCATCTGAAAATCAATAAAACTCATTTAATGCATTTTTAAAATTTTATATGACTTAATCTCAATTTTAATTTAAATAAAACTATTTTAATCAATTACTTCATTTGAATCTGTTAATTAACGGTATTTATTGTCCTGTAATTTGCTTTCGGACTTGAATAAGTACCATTTGAACAAAATAATTAAATAAAAATGCCACAAGACATCACTCAGCCAATATCCTGTGGTATAATCAGTAAGGCCGATAGTCGAAAGAACATTTTTTACAAGCCGATCTCTATCGAGAATAAAGAATTTCAAAACTGGAAGATCTTGAACAATTTTTTCCTCCATCTTATTGCAGACGTTCAAAGGAATAACTGACTGGAAGTTTACATTCTGGGATTTATACTCGTAAGAAAGGGATCGAAATAAGCGATCAGAAAACGCATTACACGATGAATATACGTTCAAAAAAGGGCACGGATGAGCCGAAAATATGGATGCAATATTGATAATGATACCTTTTTGTCTAGCCAGCATAAAAGGCACAGTCAAGCGCGTCATGTGTGTTACAGCTCTCACTCGCAAATCTATGCTCCTGTATACACTTTCATCGGATTCCTGTAGGAACTGGCTAGGAATTTCGCCTTCGATATCGGCACAATTCACCAAAATATCGATTTCTACACCATACAAGCTGTTATTTAGAAATTCGAATACGTTTTCTTCGGTAAAATCAACGTGCGTGTAGCAGCAACGTACGCCATATTTGCTCTTGATTTCTTCGACTGTATCCTTCAGATCTTCTAATTCTTTGCTGATAATCACAATATCTAATCCGAAATTAGCCGGTTGGTGAGCGTAACCTTTTCCTATCACCGAACTTCCTGCCGTGATTATGGCCCACTGTGTACAGCTTCTTAAATTCCAAGTACAATTAGGAAGATGTATCCTGAGTAAATTAAATAACCGCAATAATAACAAACAAACGAAGATAAGGGTGGAGAAAACACCAAAATATGTCAAAATATAACTGTTCCGTATAACTTCTAACATCGTTAATCAAAAATTGCTAGAGACTACGATCAATTTCGTTTATACAATTTCTATGCATTCCACTGATATCAACTTTTAACATAAACAAACCAAGTACAAAATTAAAAGAATA